CCTTAGGTAGAAGTGAAATTGCTTGTACCATTAAGCTAGCCCGTTATTTTAATATCTTTCTTGCTCTTTTGTAACTTTGTATAGTTTTACCTGTTTTCAACATTTCTATATCATTGTTATTACTATGGATAAGTTTTTCAGCTTAGTGAAAAATTTAAAATGGTTTTAAAAAATGTATGTCAGAGTTTATTTTTCTTTAATTATGGGAATTTTGTGGGTGGTCTATGATGCATGGCACTTTCCAATAGCTTTGTCTACTAATAGTACCACAGATTTGTCCCCATGTGTTAAGGACATAAGAAATCCCATGAAATTAACTCTCTAACATACAGCAGGATATCCTTCTTTTCTTGTTGACTTTGACATCTGCTCGGCATTGTAAATCAGGGATGTTTCTCAATGTCGCTAATAAATATTTGAGACTTGAAAAGGTAGAATATTTTCTTCACGATCCTTTGAGCTTGTGTAACTTGCCTATGAATCATTTTGGATCACCTTGACATCAGCTTTAACATCAGTGCATGATGGCAACTTTATTGCTGCCTTTTCCCAAAAGGATTATCTCATATTTCACAAAGTCAAAATCAAGTTTGACAACTAAAAGGATTATGTGAACTCTGAAACAGCTGTTTTCTTGCCACAGTATCATTTGATTAAAGAATCTGAGCGGGAAAGGCACACCTCAGTGGTAGAATACCTGCTTATCATGCATGAGGTCCTGGTTCAATGGCCAGTACCTCCATTAAAAAAATAAATAAACCAAATTACTTCCCCCCCTAAATTTTTTTAAATACAGAAATTTAAAAAATAAAGAATCTTAATAATCATCACTATCCTACTGGATGTGACTCGTAAGTATTTTACCAGTACAAGGTTTTCTTTTTGTGAACAACACTGTTAAAGCATCAGCTGCCTTCCTTAAACAGTCTCCGTGATAACGTTTTTCCTCCCATCTCTGACTTTAAGCCATTTCAGCATTTATTAGAGGAAAAGGAAACCAAGGACAAGAAGGGGAAGTAAAATCCAAACTAGTCCATTTGTTATTCATTTATTATTCTAATAAAGAATAGATGGAGGGTGAGACAGCTGACTGGTTTAAAAGTTACTTAGTGGTGTAAATGTTTCATGCCAATTTTGTATTGTTAACATAATAATATAAGTATTATTAATGATTCGTGCTGAGGGCAGGGGAACTTCCAGTAATATAACAGTAGAAACCCTTTCTTTTAAATAGTACAATCAACACCTGCAGTCATAATTTGAAATACATTCTAATTAAAATCTCTCTAGTAGGTAGCTCCTTAAAGTTTCTTTGCTCTTTCTTAATTTGTCTTCCCATGCTAATGTTGGAAGCATGGTTCTACCAGCACTTGGATGTTGTAGTTGAACTTCAATATGTCACCTCAGGCTGGAATGGTGCCCAAAGAACACAAATGCCATTGAGAGGGCGTGAGAACTGGGGGAACAGCCCTGGTTTTGAGTTGGGAGGCTTGTGAGCTGGCACTTACTGCTCATGTGACTTCAGGTGACTCACCCAGTTTCTCAGGGGCTCATTTTTTTTTTTTAAAGAAGAATTCTTTTATAATTGAGAATTTTAACAAGGACTGACAAAGCTTTGAAAGTAGAGCTTCATGTGATCTTTAAAAGTTAATTTATGCCTATTTAGCTCTGTCTAACTGTAAGATATAACCAACTTTTATACAAGGAAAATCTGAACAAAATCATTACCATCTGTGTTTAATGTTTAGAGGATTGTCTTTTACCTTTATATTTATTTACTTTTTCCCCACTTTTTAATTGAAGTATAGTTGATCTACAATGTTGTATCCATTTCTGATGTGCAGCATAATGATTACATTATACATATACATATTCTTTTTCATTACAGGTTACTACAAGCCACTGAATATAGTTCCCTGTGCCATATAGTAGGGTCTTGCTGTTTATTTATTCTGTACCTAGTAGTTTGTATCTGCCAATCCCAATTCCCAATACATCCCTCGCTCCCTCTTTTCCCCACTGGTAACCGTAAGTTTGTTTTCTATGTCTGAGTCTCAGAGGCTCACTTTTCCCATTAGTAATTTGGGAGTAGAAAATCCTTGCCCTGCCTATCTTAATTGTAAATGATGATAAAATTAAACAATGTGCTTGTTCTTTGAAATTTTTATAAATGTCAGAATATGAAGTTTTTAAAGAACCATCAAGATGGTTGGAAATTAAAAACAACAACAACAACAACAAAAAACAAACCCAGCAGAGTAGAATGATAACGTTAATGGACTTAGTTGAAAGTTTGCTAGGATGTGGTTGCAAATCTTCAATGATGGTCCCAATGAACCACTCCTCCTGGAATTTGGAGGGAAATGTAGTTCCCTCCCTTAGAATCTGGGGTGGCCCTGTGACTCACTTTTTACCAATAAGATGTCACAGAAGTAATGCTGTGCTAGGTCATACAAAGCTAAGCAGTTTTAGCCTGGGTCTGTGGAATGCTCACTGTAAGGCAAGCCAGCTTCTGTGTAAGAAATTCAAATACCCTCAAGTGCCATGTTGTGAGGAAGCCCAAGTTAGCCAGGTAGAGAGGTGTAGGAGAGGAAAAAGATTTCTTTTCCATCTAGTCATCTTAGGTTCATTGACTGGGACTCTGAAAATTAGACTGCCAAAAGACAGGTTAACAAGAGAAAACAAACAGGAGTTTATTAACATGTGCATCATACATATACATGGGAGCGCTCAGAGATGAGTAACTCAAAGGAGTGGTTATAACTTGGGCTTACAGAGCATCTTAGCAAAAGAGCAATATATTTTTATAGGGGGAGGGTATAGCTCAAGTGGTAGAGCATGTGCTTTGCATGCATGAGGTCCTGGGTTTGATCCACAGTACCTCCTCCAAGAATAAATAAATAAAGTTAATTACCTCCCCCCAACAAGAACAAGAAAACCACAAAAAAACAAAAGAGCAATACATTTTCAGAGAAGTGACAAAACCAAGGCACAGGGCTGAGTTTCTAGGGCAGTAAATTGTGAGAAGGCAAATATCTGGGAGAACTAATGGAAGATAAAGGCTAGTTACTAGAGGTGGTTATGTAGATTCCTTTAGTGCCATCTCTGGGCTGATAAGAGTCTAGAGTTGCCTTTGGTGATTAAATTTTGTTCTTTCTGGTAGAGGATGGAGGGGGACACTTTTACAAATTTCTGTCCTGCTCTTAGGCAAATGGAGGGCAGAGAGGTTTTCTTGTGTTTGTTTCTGTTCAAATGTCTCCAGCTCAGAATAATCCTCATACCAAAGGGGCATATTTTGGGCTGGCATGTTCTGCTGCCTTTCAGCAGCCTCATGGAGGGAGAGAGAGAGAGAAGAGAGGAAGAGAATTGCCCAGCCAGTCCCTGTTTCTCCCAGCTGTTCCAGCTAAGCCATCAAATATGTGAATGAAAAAAAGAACTTTCTTGGACACACTGGCTGCCATCTGCAACCACATAAGAGACCCCAAGCAGAACCACCCAGCTGAGCCTAGTCAACCACAGACCCATGAGAGACAGTAAATTGTTGTTTTAATCAGCCATTAAGTTTTGGAGTGATCTGTTATGTAGCAATTGATAACCAGAATATAGAATGATTGTTTTTTTCATTTTCATGGAAGGCTTGTTGAGCTAATTAGTGTAGAATTTCATGAGACATTTAGGACAAAGTCACTGATGTATATCAGGACCTACTTCAGCTGATTTGATTCCTCTTGCCAAAGGTACATTGTTCTAGAAAGTGCATTTCGACAGAGCACTGGGAAGGAAGAAAATAACAGATGAGTCAATGCCAGAATAGGAGGAGGAAAAACATTTTCTTTTAGGCTATGTTTTGTTACTTCCATAAATGACTGCCCTGGACAATTTGCACAAGTTATGGTTTTTCTAAGGACAGTTCTATTTTTTTCTTAGAATGTATTGAAGTTCTTTTGTGGTTTAATTTGTAGCCAATTGGAACTAGTCTATTAAGTATCTTTATTGTGGTCATCATTTCATGATGTATTTAAGTCAAATGATTATGCTGCACCCCTTAAACTTATACAGTGCAAGATGTCAATTATATTTCAATAAAACTGGAAGAAAAAAAAAACACCCCTCACCACCAAAAAGAGAGCATTTCTTGTAGGCAGAATAAAAATAAATAAATAAATAAATAAAAAGGAAAGTATCCCGAGTGTACTGTGTTCAGTGTTGTCCAAAACGTTCTGTCAGTGCTAGAGAATCTTAGCAAGATCTGCTCAATGGCCCAATGTAAGCTGTGTTTTTTCAGAAGCTCAAAAAAAAAAAAAAATACCCACCAACCCTGACTGTTTTTTGAAGTAGCAGGGAAAATGTTGATGTCAATATTCAACTGACAGTGTGGAATTCTAAGCTCGAAGTTGCCATGTGACCTACCAGCCGGCATTTTCCCCGGGGTTTTTGCTCATGCCCCTCCTGATGTGAGAATCCCTGATCTCTTCTGGGTCACTGTTCACTGCTTTCATAAAGGGCAGGAAAAAGCCAAGTCTTTCTCTGCATCCTTTAATCTCTAAAGCCATTTTTAAGATGAGAAACATGTATGTCACGTTTTGACTCTACGTCAGGAACAGACTGAAAAGCAACAAAACTCATCGGACAGCATGTCCTATGGTAACTTTTTTTTTTAAACTTCCTTGGTGGCCATGGATAGTTTTGAGAATATGATGGACACAGATCTTTTTCCCCAAATGCCACACAGTAGGGTCAGTTCTGCGCTTCATCATACTGGTCCCATTAGCAGAATTTGCACAGTTGATCGCTCCCTCCACTCAGCTCTGTGGTCCAGGTCCCGCCTGCTCCCCTGCACCCTCGCTGACCTCAGTTGACTTCACCTCGGGGACTAGAATCGCCGAGGGGAGGAGACGCTAGGAGGCAGCGGGCTCCGCCCCGGCCGCGGGCGAGCCCGGAACACAGTTACCGGCTCCTGTTTGCGTCCGGAACACAAAGGGAGAGGAGCACGTTAGCTGGAAACGGAAGCGAGAGTAGGGGGGCGTGTTTAGCAGAGGACGCACCGTCCCCGTTGGGTTTTCAGTTCAGTGTTTCTCCGCGATGTTTCCAAGAGTCTCGGCGGTCTTACCTCTTCGCCCTCTTTCCCGCCTCCCTTTGTGCTCCGGAGGCCCGGAGGCATCGGCGGCTGCGGTCGTGGTACTCGGTTCTCCGCACACAACGTTCAGGTACCGCGTTTCAGCGCTGTTGGCCTCGCAGATCTTCAGGCAACCCCTGTCCCCCTCCCTGTACATTCAGTTATCTTTCTCCGGCTTTCTGGGGTCCATGGTTTGACCCACGGGATCTTAGAAGCCGTTGCTTTAAATCTGAGGAAAGGGAAATCCCAGAAAGTTAAAATGACTTGTCCAGGGTGGTAGGGTGCGTGGGTAACAGCTCCGGTGACAGGCCTGGTCCGCTGCCCTGTGCTCTGCTGCATACCGCGCTGCATCCCTTTTGCCACGGCTCCCCTTTTATCCAGGTTCCAGAAACGAAGTTTATTTTTTTTATCTCTATCTATCTATCCATCTATCTATCTGATCTATCTATGTAATCTATCTACCTATCTTCCCCAAACTGTGATGGTCTCATTCCTCCCTCCATTTATTCTTTAGTTCCTTATTGAAAGTGCTTTACCGTGTGCCAGCACTGGGGTTAAGTCCAGAATAACACAGTCCTACCATCACGGAGCTTGTAGTTACACCATAGGCAATTCAGGTATAGTGGAGTAATAGCTGGAATAGTGTAGGTAGCACAAAATGCTACAGAATTACTTGAACAAGTAATTGCTGTGCGAGCAAATAGGGACGCCTAACCATAGTAAGAGAGGTTCAGAGTATCGTTTCTGGAAAAGGAGTCTGATAAAATCTGAAGGGGAACCAAGGGTTGGAGTCAGCCAGGCAAGAAAAAGATTTACTGCATACTCGGTGTTGGTATTTATTTTCTGAGAATTCTCATGATTATGAAAACTTGATTCTACTGAATATGTATTCCATGCAGATTGGTTTGGGGCCAGTTTGGTTAAGTACAACCCTGAAATAGGTTAGTAGCAGTGGGAGTGGCAAGAAGTAACTGGATGGAGAAGAATTGCACAGATGAAATTGCTGGAACGTAACATATGATGAGTTAAGTAGTCAGAGAAAGCAAAGATTTCAACTGGCTGCCTTGACAAATTAGGGTACTGTTAAGGGAAGAATGAGGAGCAGCTTTGAGAAAGCTTTTAAAATACATAATAGTTTTTTGAATACAAAAACACCTATTTGTGGTAAGAGGCCCATTCAACACAAAAGTGTGAAATATGGGAAAGCCAGTCTGAGAGGCCAGCTCTTAAATGTGGTTTTAGATGTGCGGAGGAGATGTTGTCGGTGGAAACAAGGCCAGGTGGGAGGTTAAGGCTAGAGTTTATTATTTTACTGCTATGAAGTAACTTCCTATACTTGATTTTCCTGGTATAAGTATAGATTATTTTCTGTAGTACTAGAACAATCTCAGAAGGGAACATGGGAGTATGGGTTATATATGAGATTCATTCTCTGATTGCCACCTTTCTGTTTTAATACCTGTAATATTAATTAACTTTCACAGGTGCACTTTCCTAAATTCAGTTGTACCATATATTGAATATTATAAGGGTCCTGTGTACTGATTATAAAGATAAGTGCTATGAAGTTGGTTTTCATTCTAATTTTTAAGTGTCTAATGTATTAGCCTCTGACATTTTTATAAGCAGATCAAATAGTTTGTTTCAGTATTTTTGAAAATAGCCGTTTTCTGATTAAATGCAGATCCTTGGGCCTGAGTCCAACTGTGAATCTCAGGAATCCATGGTTTGAATAAGCTCCTTGGATGATTAATATGACCTGTAAAGGTTAAAAATTACTACTTGAACCTTTCTGAGCAGCACTTTCTTCTTCTTTAATATGGGAGTAATAAAACCTATGAAACCTGTCCTATAAAAATAGTAAGGATTAAATGACATGTGTAACAGCTACTCAGATGTGGTTCTCTGATGGCATCAGCATTAGTTGGGAACTTAGAAATGCAGACTGAGTCCTTCCCCAAAGCTACTGAATCAGAATTCCTTGGTAAAACCAAATAATCTGTGTTTTAACAACTCTTCTAGGTAGTTGTTGTGCATATTAGTTTGAGAAACAGTGCTGTAGCCTGTTCGCTTCATAAAGATAGGGATCATGAAATTCTTATTTACTAAATATTATCAATGCCTACTATAGTGCCCAGCACAGAATAGATATTCACTATATTTAATAAATGACTTTTTATACATTATACCTCTTACAAAGCTAACACATTCATTAGTTTTTAAAGTTCTTCAATATCAACTATCAAAAGGTTTTTAAGGCACAAAATAAAATTGGGTATGTGGGTTACTTTAGAATTGAGAGATCTTTTACATGAGTTTGAAATAGATGTGATCATTTGTGTTGTTCTTTTTCACAAATGTATATAAAGAAGCAAGCAGAATAACAACTCTAGCTACTGAATATTCTTTTTTTCTGTTCCATTTTAGCTTAGTTTACAAATGGTGATTGGTTAAATGGCATGTAGCTCAATGAGAAAGTTAAATAGATCAGAATCACACCCAGGAATTTTTTTTTTGAAGAAAGTAGCTTTTTTTATTGATATAAATTTCTTTATTTTCATGTTGTTTAATTATGACTTTTTATAACTATTATTTTATCACGTTAAGAGCAAGGATTTGGCAATCTGTCAGTTTCGGGTTTGAGAATAATAAATTGAAATTTATTGACCATGTCAGTGTTTTGCAATTTTTTAAATGTCATGGACACACAGACAATGCTATTTGTACCAAACTTTGAGTTAAATGGAAGGGGGTACCAGACAAGAGCCCTGGGCCTCGCTTGGCCACCCCGAGCACTAGGTGGGCAATACCTCAGCACAGCTGTAACTCATTTGTGGCTCACCACTGTGTCTTAGGCCTTAGTGAGCTTTGAGTTACATGACCTTAGGTAAGTACTTCACCTCTCTGGTTTCCAGTTTCTTTATCTGCAAAATAGAGATAATACATACCTTTGGAGTTGATGTGGGTGTGAGAAAATGTATATAAAATGTTGCACAAGACTAGGCACACAATATATGTTCAAAAGATAATTGAATTGTTGTCCTTATGGTTGTTAACAACAATAATAAGCAAAAAGGAAGGATTTGAATTGAAAAAATTTTAAAACACATCGAAGCAGCATTTGGAGCCCTAACAATTATTTTGCATAGTATAACTATTTTTTCTTTAATCCTTCCAGGACAAAAAATAATATCCAAAGATATTTTGGCACTAACAGCGTGATCTATAGCAAGAAAGATGAGAAGTCTGTTCCAACCCATGAGACTTCCAAGGAGACAGAGAGCCAAGAGAGTGTGAAGGAGACTACGAAGAAAGACTTGATAAATATTATTAAGGGCATGAAAGTTGACTTAAGCACAGTAAATGTACAAACAACAAAGCCACCCAACAGAAGGCAACTTAAAAGTTTGGAGGCTACAGTTGGCAGACCTCATAAAGCTCCCATAGATGCCCCCCAAAAGAGGTAAATTGAATTGCAATCTGAATGTTTTTCTTTGAAAGTCATTTTTGAAACTTCTTTTAGGAAAAAAAAATTGAGAGTACATTGGAGATACAGAATTAATGAAGACTATCAGTTTGTACACACAGAGACTCTAATAATTACTTGAGAAATACTATTATTGTTCTGTATTTAAATAAGAAAGGGATATCTGTGTATAGTCTAGAGAGAAGAAAAGAGTAGGGATCTAATTGAGAATTCCACATATTCTTTATGTATTTGTCAGTGTTATTAACTGCCCTTTAATTGCTTCTTTAAGCTATTAATTAAAAAATTATTTACATCCTAATTTGAAGGTGCCTCTGAAGGACTTGTTTATTTGAAATTTTTATTTAAAAAATTCCACCTAGGATGGAATTTTAGCATGTTGATTACAGCTGTTTTATATGACTTCCTTTGATCAGTAATTACCAGGGTTCTCAGCTTTTGTTGTTTCCTTAAAGGATTGTAATTACTTTGTCTTATCAAAAGAGTATTATATTTTACTGATTCTAAATGTGATCAGTGATATTTTAGCATTGTGTTGTAGTTTAAATGACAGTATTTTGTTTTAGTGATACATAAATAATTATGTGTTGATGTCATTGATTCAAGTAATAAGATATGTGGCTTTAAGATCCCCAGCTATGACTTCTCTTAGCAGAATAAACAGATAATATAGATTCCTATTTCCCAGAATGACTTAACATTTTTATGGAACTTCTTGGTTTCTACATTGTATCTTAATGGTGTCTATGATATTCATAAGTATGGTATTCTACATTGTATCGTATGGTAACTACCTCTGGAAAGCATAACTGAGTGGTAGAGAGTAAACTAATGCAAACAGTGAGTGCCCATAATAGGTACCTCCTTCTCCTATTTTTTAGAAACAAAATAGAACAAAATACATATATGTATATAGAATTAGGTAATACACAAACATACATACTTATGAAGAGTTAGAGGTTTTTTTTTTTTTTTTTACTTCTCAGGCCTTTTTATGACCCATGGTGCTTTTTATTATAATTATACAATGTAATTAACTGTTAATGAAATGGTTAAAATGAGTTGATTGCTTTGCAGAGATTCAGTAGCAGTCATTTAAAAAATTCCTTTCCAATTAGGTATGAATGAGACAAACATAAAAATCTAGGAAATTCTGCACTCAGATTGCTTTGTAAGCATTTTAAGTTCTTGCTCCATGTTTCCACTTTAAAGAAACCAAAATTGGCTGTGTTGGAGGGTGTACTATGGGTGTGGTGTATATGTAAAGATGTACCTTGGAATTTCTATCAGTGGTCCTATGTTTAAAGAAGAGACTTTGGCCTTACAAAAGATTGGTGAATGAGTTACATTTGTTTTGATTTTTAAAAAATATACCTTATATACCCCTTTCCCCTTTTTTTTGAGGGATCCTGGATGCACAGAATTAGGTTAATCATCATCTTTGATTCATGATGTACTGTCATCATTGCTGTACTGTCATCCACGCATGGCCTGCTGTTAAGTTTCTTTAATTGTATTATATTTTAAACCCCTTATTGATGTAGTTATTGATGATTGATGACTGCATAATAATTGCCCCAAAATTTAGCAGCGTGAAACAACCATTTTTTACGCTTACAGATTCTGTGGGTCAGCAGTTTGGGCAGAGCACAATGGAGAAGGCTAATCTCTGCTCCATGATGTCTAGGGCCTCAGTTGGAAGACTTGGAAGTTCAGGGACTAGAATCATCTGAAGGTTTGCTCACTCAGTCTGGCAGTTGGTGCTGGCTGTTAGCTGACACCTTAGCCAGGACTGTTGGCAGAAACAGCTGGATGTGGCCTGTGTGGCCTGGGCTTTCTCACTGCATGGTGGCTGGGTTCCAGGAGTGAGTGTCCTGAGAGAAAAGGAGCCCCAAGGAATTTGTGTTGTTTTTATGACCCAGCCTTGGAATCAGTTTGGACACCACCACTTTTATCCATGTGCCACACTGATTTATGAACGGTTCTTGCTTTTTATCATAGCAGCCGAAAAACCAAAGATTTCACAAAGAATGATATCATCGAAAGAAATGCATTTGTCTAATGTTAAAACTGTGAACCTTGAGTTAGTAGTTCACACAGTCACTGACAGATGTGGCTAGTATTTCCCTGTGGTGCTCCAGGGTGCCCTAGGGCACAGTTCAGGAACCAGGGTCCTGGTTTACACCGAGCTCCTTGCTAGGGGCTCTGGGACCACACCTTTAAGTTTCTTAGAATTCCGGATGTCTGTTTGAAAGGTACTCTGAGGCACCATTGTAAATCTTTCTAAGACCTTAACAAAGGGTTTTACAGTCATGTCCATGGCTTTGTCTTTAGACCATGTTTTCCTGACACTGCCCTGGATTTGATCTCTGTTCAGAAGCCATTTCTAAATTTTAGCATCATTTGCCATCTGGAAGGGCTAAGAATGACAAGTGTTTTATTTTTGATCCCAGCAAGTTTTGGCTCCTTTATGTGTAACAGTTCTTTCTTACCTCTCTCTGAGAACCCAGGAGGCACCCTCAGTTCTGTCAGGAAGTCTCCTTAGCTAGATCGTCCAGTTCACTAAGTATACCTCCTATTTTCCACGTTACTCAAGCGGTGGTGTCCCTTTTCCTCCAGCTTCCAGTAGCACTGATTTTCCTACAGCCCTCACTCACAGCTTCCTTGAGGGCCACCAGACTCTAACAGTTTCTTTGAGGCTCAACCTTGGGGATTTGGGAACTTGGATTTGCATGTTAGACATCAGATCCTAAGATAGAAAACCAGGGAGATAGAGTAGGACAATAATTTGGATCCTACTCATTGAGATGGTAATTCTCATTGAGTTGAAAAAATGTAACTTCCTTTTCTATCTGGCGTATGTTTCTCTTAACGTACCCTAATTCACTGAAGATTAGCCTATTTTTTAGCTTTTGGAAAATTTAAAACATAAAGTAACCAGAATCCTAAAATGAACCCTTTTATACCTGTCACCCAGCTTCAGTAATACCACATTTTGCCTTCTTGTATCATCTATACCTTCATCCACTTTCCGTCTCTCACTCAGTGATAATTTATGGGGGTTTTTTCCAGGTAAAATTTATATACACTTAAGTGTACAAATCTTGGCTGTAGGATTTTGACAAATGGATGTGCCCATGTAACCCACACACTTTCCAAGATGCAGAACATTTCTCATTTTCATCTTCCCCATCAGTAACCTCCTGTCCTAAGGCAACCACTGTTCTGATTTTTTTCAACTTAGACTAATTCGGCTTCTTCTAGAACATGATGTAAGTGGAATCATACAATATATACTTTTTAAAATCCAGCTTCTTCCATACAGTTTCATCCACATTGTGGCATGGGCTGAGTAATATTCCATTGTATGGGTATATCACAGTTCTAATGGTAGACCTTTGGGTTATTTCCAGTTTGGGGATATTATGAATGAAGTTTGTACAAATAGGTTTAGCCACTTTTATGTTTGCTTGTAATGTGTATTGTTTTTAAAATAAAATGGCATCTAAGGATCCACTGATTCATCATTTTTGAGGCTGATCCCTCACCCCTCCACTTTTGTATATTGTTCTGAGTTACTACTGTGCTTCAGCAAGGATCCATTAACTTTAACCGTGAACATTTTAAAGTTTATAGAAAACTGATTCCTAGTATTAAAGAATTCTTGGCTTTGTCAGAAATTGAATGATACTTTTTGGACTACAGACAAAAAGTTTTCTCCTGAGAAATCATTTTACTTTCCACCAAACTAAAGTAATGCCTCTTTTTTCTCTCCTTTGTTTTCTGTGTTCTCTTTCAGAAGTGAGTCCCTGAGCCCTGAGTTGGTGGCGGCCGCATCTGCTGTTGCAGACTCTCTCCCTTTTGACAAGCAGACAACCAAGTCGGAGCTGCTCAAGCAGCTACAGCAGCATGAGGAAGCCTCGCGGGCACAGAAAGATGGAGAAAGACCTAAAATTAGGTTAGTGAATCAAGTGGTCATGTCAGTGATGCTGATATCTCAAAATAGGCCGTTTCCATGTGAATGATGAGTACTATACATAATATATTCATTTATATATAAAATATGCCTCGTAAGTATTAGCAATTTGATTTCTTTTAAAAGTCATATGTTAAATAACATTACAGTTTTAAAAGACTAAGTCAGTGGTTAAACTTGTTTTGAGAAGTTCCATCATTTCTTGTCCCTGAAAAAGAAATGGTAAATTCAGTAAAGTTACTACAAATAAATACGTAAAAACAGAATAAGACAGTTCCTCTGAGAAGGTTTTTTTTTCCAGTTAAATAATGTGCTGGTTTTATGCACAGTATGGTCACTTGTTTTATTTGTACTTGAACAAATGCAGGGCAACAAATAGACATGGCTAAATTTCAACTTTAATATAGTTTTTAAATCTAGGTGATAGGTATACAGACATTGATAATATGTCAACTTCTCAGGATGTTTGACAGTTTTTCACAAGGGACACTTTTCATTGTGTTTTAAATGAACATTTCTGAAGAACACCTTTAAAACACAGAAGGCAACATCAGTCTTAGTGGTCTGTGGTGTTAATATGCAACCTACAATCTTTTATTTAAACATGACTTTTTATTCACTATTAGTGCATAGAAGTAAAATAAAGATTAAGTGATACGAATCTCATGTTTAAGAAGTTTATTACTTTTCTGTAGCTAAAATTTCTAATACATTTGACCTTTTTCTTATTTCAGTTTCAGTAACATCATATCAGATATGAAAGTAGCCAAGTCTGCCACAGCAAGAACTAGTACCAGACCAGTGCATCAGATTCAGTTTGATGAAGGAACTGATGATTTTGTTGCCCAGGAGAAGGCCACCGATCTTAGAAAAAGGTATTCAGGGCTCTGCCTTGGTTTTGTTTGCTTAACTGTGGATTTACTTGATTGCTGTGCATTTGTTGCTGATGGGTATCTGAGCCTCCTGGATGCATTTGTATTGGTCTGTCTCCTTACCCTCCATGTACCGTTTCCTAGAGAGGAAAGATGTACTGGGTTTAGCAGGGCTACATTTTTTTATACCATAAATCAAAATGGGTCCTGCCTCACATTTTCCCACAGTGAATAAAGTCTCCTGATTTAGAATAAGTGGAGCTGACTGAATCCTGAACAAATGAATATTTTGCAAGAAGCACTCTTTTTCATTCTGATGTGTGGCTAACTGTATATTCATGTACCCTTTTTATCTCGCTATGTAGTCATCTTTCTTCATACCTTAGAGAAATAACTCAATATCAACAAAAAGAAGGAAGAGCCAATATAATGCCTTAAAGTGCTGGATTATTTGTGGTAATCTGAATTTGGTAATTTGCAGTTCTTAAAGATGCTAAGCCAAGTCTCATATACTATTTTATAAAAGAAAGCTGTCTGTATTTACATAAAGTTTCTGTTCTTTCTCTCCTTCAAACCTATAAAGTGATAGTTAGGGAGGGGGAAGCAAATCTTTAGCACGGTCTGACAAACACTAACCAAACCTTATAGCGGGATGTGCTTACAATTGTAGTATTTTCTGTGTTGTGTATTCCATAGATTTTGTTTTATGTATAATCTCAGGAACCTGAGTTAGCTCCTTCCAATTGGAAAAGATGGTCAGCAGTTACCAAAGGAAGTTCAAGAGGTTACAGTGACTTTGGAAGATTATTTGAATTACAAATTTAAAGTGATTTTTATGTTATGATATTATTGAATAAAGTAGAATGTGTACTTGGAGTTTAACTTAAGATTCCTCAAAAATATTTAACTTTCATCTTCTTTGAATCAGTCTTCTTTGAAATGATGCCATGCAACTATATCAGAATGCTATATCAGAGGCTGATTTTTAATGACTTGAGCTGTCATCACAAGTTAAAAGGTGGCAAGGGCAAAGCTAAAAAGTATGGAAGGGGTTTATGCGCATATAATAATCGCATTGAAAAGCTGACTAATGGACTCTAGAATAAAGGGAAGCAATGGTGAGATACCAGGTTGTTGACCCTGCTCTGACTTGCGACAGCCAGAGACAATCCAGGCCTGGACTGATCACCAAAAATATATCCTCCACTGATCCTTCAGTTAGAGACGGAAAGCTGTGAGTCCCGAGCACTGGCTTTGGGGTCACAGTGGGCTGCACTGTGCATGTGACTGATTCTGTGACTGGACACACTCCATAGCCTTGTCAGCCTGCTTCTGCATCTCTGAAATGCTGAAAGTGAAACCTAGCTGAAGTGGCTTTCTTGAGGAACAGAAATGGGTAAACAATATATAGTAGATACACAGCAAATGTCCTTTCCCTTCCCTTCTCGTTAGTACATTCCTCTTTTAAAATTCCATACTTCGGCGAATTATTCCCTCTTGACTGTTAGTTACTTTAATCCATCACCCTGTTGACCTGACACACAGTTGAGGGAATGCCAGGTGGGGAGAAGAGTGAAGCACTGAGGATGGTTCTGCAGCCTTTGTTTATAGACGCTTGGGGACCTGTGAGAGGAAAGCTTCCGTGATTTGAGATCACTGTATTTAATTTTAATGTGGTATTTAAAAGGAATTTGATGTAGAAAAGAATTCAGAATTATTTTGAAAACTAACCCTCCAGTTTATAAGCGAGCGTTTAATCTGCCAGTAAATTTGTTCAAGAATGTGAATTGATGCATAAAGCAGTTGATTAAAACATACAAGGAAAAGTTACCTATTAACTCTCTGACATTAATTTCAAGTTAATTAAAAATAGCTATGTAAAGAAAGTTAATCATTATTTTAAAATTACAGAATGATAGCTTTGTAAGTCGGAATGTTTTGATTTTTCTATGCAGTCTTTTATAATTATAACTTATAATTAAACATGCAGTGTTTTTTACCCTTTAAGTAAGACAAACGTTGACTTTAATGACTTCCAATTTAGCATATTTTGATCGCTTTCCACAACATCAAGTTTTCTAAAACCTTAATATGAAATGGGTGAAATAAAAATTATGGCAAATTAAGCTAATCTTTTCAGTTAGGTATTTTGGAAATTAAACTGTTATAATTGCTTTGTTGTATTATGATGTAAAAATTCAGGTGCATTTGTCCCTGTTTTTTAGTTATCAGTCCTGAAGACGTGTCAATTTTCTTAAAATGTCTAGTATGGAGCAATGTAATTGTTTTTAATTTTTACATTGAATATTTCATATAAAAATTTTATCCTCATAAATAATTTTTGTTAACCATGTATAAAAATATTCATTAAAATATTTTTTTTTCAGTTTTAGGAAAAATATATTCAAGGGGAAGAGACTTAATATTTTTGACCCCAAGGCAGTAACCGAAGAGGCACCTGAAACAGGTTTGTCAAGAAAATAACACTATTTCTCAGGTGTAAAAACATTCTCTCTCTCAAAAATGTCCTTCACGTTTTGATTGTATAATAATCAGGTATTTTAATATTCTATCCTGTCTTTAACCTGGATCCTACATAGTTGTTGACATTGCTAGCCTCGGTCAGATTTCCCCCTTGAAGTATTGCGGACCATGAGACAATGCGATTTAAGTGCTAGCAGCTGCGTGGACATTAGTGATCACATAGTGTTTGCACCACACCTCTGTGCTGTTACGTGAGGATAAATTGTGGTGTCTGCCCTAAGGCAGCTTACTATCTAGAACAGGAGAGAGCATTTGTAGAAGCAACTAACTGAAGTGATTTGATGATTGTTTAGAAGACAGGAAGAAGAGCATGCAGGGAATATATTTAGCAGACTTTTGTTTTTTTCTTAACAAACTCAGTTTTTTTTTTTTAATTGAAATATAGTCAGTTTACAATGTGTCGATTTCTGGTGTACAGCATAATGTTTCAGTCTTACATGTACATATATTCATTTTCATATTCTTTTTCATTATAGGTTACTACAAGATATTGAATATAGCTCCCTATGCTATGCAGAAGAAAGTTGTTTATCTATTTATATATACTCATTAATATTTGCAAATCTTGAATTCCCAATTTATCCCATCCCACCCCCTTTCACCTCAGTAACCATAAGATTGTTTAGTATGTCTCTGAGTCTGTTTCTGTTTTGTAGATAAGTTCACTAGTGAACACACTTAGTCTTTGTTCTCTATATTCTTCCCCCTTTCTTTGGGCAAGAAATCAAATCCTTCAGATTCACTGTTGTAAGACTAGTTAAAAGAGAAATAAGAATGTCTTATTGCTTGACATTAAATTTAGTTTACTGATAAAATAAATGAAGATACTCCATACAGATGGTCTCAGCTTATAAGTGACACTAATTTCTAAAGATTGTAACTTAGCTTTTTGGACTTTGGTAGAAATAATTTTTTTTAATTTATATTTATTTATTTATTTTGGGGGGGTAATTAGGTTTACTTATTAATTTTTTAGAGGAGGTACTGTGGATTGAACCCACGACTTTGTGCATGCTAGGCATGTGCTCTACCACTTGAGCTATCCCCTCCCCCGAAATAATTTTATATTTGATATTTAAGTTCTTAGGCCATCTTGCAGTGGCTCATTTAATCTTTCTATCAGTTACTTATAAAAACATCTGCTTTTCCTACTGTTCAATAAACTCCTTGATGTTAGGGGCTAGGTCTCAATGATTTTTGTATACCCAGTAGCACCTAGCCAAGCGGCTTATAGATAATAGGAATAGTTACCTTAAATCCTTTAAATCCTTTTTTAAACTAATTGAGCTATAAAATGTATATCCATACAGGGAAGGAGTTATTTCACTCAGTGCCTGTTCATTTAAACTGAAGGTGAAACTAAGAGAACAGCTCCCTCCTTGTATGGTGACAACTGCATTCTGTCCTGTATGATGAAAAGGAAATACAAACGCACAGGCATGAAGAATGGATCACCTCTCCCCTGTTGAAGTGGCAGCTGTTAAGCTTGCCTCGGGAAGGGAGTTTGTTGTCAGGGCAGCTGCTGTTGTGCACCTAATAATGAACAGCCAGAAAAGGCACTTGGATTCTTGAAGGAGCCGGCATGCTTTTTTAAATCAGAAATCTTATTCCTAAAACTGAAATTAGCTGGCAAGGAGGTACTGAAGTTGTATTTATTTATAAAACAATATAAAATGCACAGATTTATGTAACTTTACTCTAATGAAGGTACTATTTTAATGAGCTATACTTGGATGAATCTGAAGAATGTCTTTGTTCCCAGTGAAATACAAGAATAACAATAAGGTGCAAACTTAAATTTAGTGTTTTTTCACTGCTTCCCCCAACCACGTGAAATAATGCCTGACATGTAGTTGGCATTCAATAATTGTTCATTAACTGGATGAATGAGTTCTCCTGTCCCACGATTCCCACATTTTGCTCCCCACTGAGTTCTTACCACTTCGCAGAGAGTATTGTCTTAGACCCTACTGCTTATCCTGGAGTAAACTAGAGCTGAGAGGCAGTATAGCTTAATGGAAAGAGTTTTGGTTTGGGTAGATCTTGATTATTCAAATTTGGATTCTGCTGTACTAACCTCTCTGAGTCTCCCTTTCCCCACCTATAAAATGGGGCTAATACATACATCTCAAGGACTAAATGAGGTAATATAATTAAAGTGTCAGGGACAGTACTTAGAACACAATGGACATTCAGTAAATAGTTGCAGCTGTTAAGGATGATGATGATGATCATGATCATGGGAAAGAGAAGTTCAGCAGTGTCCCGTGAATAAATTTTAAAAACGTAACCATGATAATTAAGTTATTGTACAGTTATGATTACTCTGTAAATGTGGCTAATTATAGCCTAACTGCTGGGATCTTTATATCAGATGTTCAGGGCCAACATTCTTCGTATACAGCAGTCAGTCTGTGGTCGGCATGTCATACATGAGTCTCCATGTACAGGTCTTTGTATGGACATGTTCTCTTTTGGGTAAAACATCTTGGAGTAAAATGGCTGTATGGTAAGTGTATTTTTTAAGTCCTTAAGTTCTTATTTTACATTTCCACCAGCAATGATTGGTGGGAATATGACTCATTCTTTAAGGATGTCTTAAATTTCCAAAGGAAATAAATGATTGAAACGTGATGATTTTGGTAGTAAGCTAACATTACATTACCTTATTCATAGAGTTGGTTGTGAGGGTTGAATGAACTAATGTATAAAAAGTATTTAGCACAGAGTAAGTGCCCAGTATCCATTAGTAGTATTATCATTATCATTCTTATTATGTTAATTTAACTTCTTTGGTCTTTATTAGTAGCACATTAGTGACTTACCTTGACAGACTGAAAATAAATAGGCTGGACTTTAAAGATCAAAATCTGTATGTTAATATAAAAAATATTCAGTCATAAAAATATCCTTAAACAAAACAGACATTTCTTTTTTCCTTTCCAGTAGAGGGGGCAGTGAGATAGGGGTTGATTACCTCGCATTGTAGTAAGACAAAAGTGAGGTTTGCAATTATCGTGGTTGTAGTCCTTATTATTTTTGTTTCAATTTTACCTATCAGTGAGTGACTTTCATTATACATTATAATTATGAGCTTCAAGATCTGACAAAATATTACCAATTCAGAAGGGATGACAACATTTTTAAAAAGAAAGGTATTTACATGGAATTGTGCTTATTTTGAATGTTTTGATTCTACAGAGGCAGGACCTTCTCTTTGGGATATAGAATTTGCTAAGCAGTTAGCTGCAGTCACTGAACAACCCTTTCAGAATGGTTTTGAAGAGATGATCCAGTGGACAAAAGAGGGGAAATTGTGGGAGTTCCCAATAAACAATGAAGCAGGTAAGTCTTAACATCAAAGGTTCGTAAAGCTCAGTGATTGAGATTTGATCTGGCAGATATTCAGTTGTAGATTCTAGATATATATATGAATTTCAAACCTGTGTGTAAACATGTTTGTGGTGTCCTGAAAGAAATCTGACCGTGTTTTTAAAAAGAATGCTGGAATTTCACTTAATTCTAGTTATTTATTTAGGAAAATTAAGAAGTAAAATTATATGGCAGAAATATGTCATGAATGCCTGTGACATAAAGTGTGGAGAACTACAAACGATGATAGCTTTCTACTTGCTAAGCAGGAAATTACCTGGTAAAACTTCTAGTACCTTAAATACTGGTTATGAGGTCATGCTTACGTTTCGGAGAACATTACAACTCTTCAAGTCTTATGCTGGTATCTTTTACTCATAAAACCATTGCATTAATGAGGCACACATTTCTTGTACTCAGAGCCATTCAAAGCAAAAATGTTGGGAGGCTTTGAAATTCTTTGGGACTCTTTGGCTGCATACCTAGATGCTTTGAACCAGTAATAAAATATTACCTACTTTCCTGGAGATTTTTCTGGAGATGTTACCTCTTACTCAGTCAAAAGGAAAACAGTATTACTGTGGTTTTTTTTTTTTTTTAATGACACCCATGATGTCATCAGCTAAACATTCCATTGAATTTTATAGATGTATTTTCAATTAGAAGAGATTCATTTACTTTTATGGTAAGATTAGCTAGAGGTTGCAAATACGTCAGGAAGTCTTAGGAAAATGTAGTGCATATTTTAAGCTTTGTAATGTTATGCTGAACTATAATATTTCAATTATTGACAGCCTTTCATTTGTTTCGATTGATAAGTGGAATGGAAACTTAAATATCAGAAATAGTCGTATATTTTCATAAAGCATTATTTTGTATAGGAAAATTTTATAGGCTTACAAATCCTTTAGGAAATTCTTATTTTGCATATTTGTATGGTATGTTCAGTAATACATATAGCAGCCTATGTTTCATCTATTACATAATATATATTTTTTTAAAGTATTGTGGCTTCTACTTCAAAGGTATCGAGATAATGTTTAAAAAACAAGGACTTTTATTTGTGTGAACCTGTGTACAGCTCTCAGCTCTGTCCGTTATTAGCCATTTGCCTTTGAGGAAATCCTTTAACCTCCTAACCCTTAGTTTCTTCATCTATAAGATTGAAGAAACCTCATTGGAAGAATGTAAGAATTAAATCGGATAGTTACTGAGTTGCTCAGCACAGTTCTTGGCATATAATACATAGGAATAAATGTTAGTCCCTTTCCCTTCCTGTATGATCATAGAATTTTAAAAGTAGCAAGCAAACTAACAAATAAAATGTATGACATTAAGGGAAGACTTTGTTCCATATTTGATGAAACTTGGGTGTTCCAGGTCCTCATGATTAAAAACATGGTTTTAAAACCCAGTATTAAGGTAGAATATGTGACTTTATTTAGGAGAGTGAAGTGTGGTGGTTAGGAGTTCAAATTCCTGAGTGAGTCTTAATCTCTCCAAGCCTCACTTCCCCATCTGTAAACTGTAGGAATAATAATAGCACTCATTTTATGGGATTCTTCTGAGAAGCAACTAGGATTATCCAAGTACAGCATCTCCACCGTCATCAGCTGTTTGTACAACAGTGCTGTGAAGCGATTGGCTGTTATAACTATTTTCTGTTCTCTACTATAATATTTATAAATCTTAAAATATTCATGAGGATATTATGTATTTTCTAGGAACCATCAAATAGGATAATAGGAAAGCATGAATTGGGGGTACATTGTCATCAACAGTAAACCATTTAAGTTCATCAAAATCTTGAGTGTCCAGACTCCAAAGGGATTTATCTTAGATTTGGCCTGGTTTTTGAGAAAGTGTAATTTCTAAAAAAGAAAAAAAAGAAACCCATGTTTTCTGGTCAGGTCGGGGAGATGAATGTGACAAGTGTCCATGTACGCTGTACGTATTATTGATGCTTCAGGGTCGGAGAGGGAGGTATCTCATTTCCAGCTCCTCAAGGCAATTGTTATCTGAATGAAAAACAGGAAAGGAACTGTGGAAACTTTCTCACTTTGATCACTCCCCTCAGCACACACTTTGAGGACTGGCGTTAGAACCTAGAGCCTCCACCGTTCAATAATATTCTTTTATGTTTCTTAAATTTTAAGATTAATAAAATATCATGCTCTCTCTCCTGATAATTAGCTTCATGAAGATTTACTTTGATGCTTTTGGGAAAAGGTGTTTTGTTTTATAGTTAGGGCCTCACCATGTCAGTTGGGAACATAATACTGAAAATGACAAAATGGCATGTCCTGTGTTTACAATTTACTTCCTAGTGTTTTGTTTTTCTGTCTTATAAAAAATTTCAGTTTGTTGTTTTGCCACTTAAAAATGTAAAAGTTGTTTTTCCAATTTGAAGTAGCTTTTTGTCAGTTTTTGTTTTAAGACCTGGTTTTCTGCTTCTGTTGTGCTTTGCCAGCCTAGAGATTTACAAGAGCTGTTAGGCGGAATTGTTCCCAGTTAAGATTTTGTAGTATTTGTTATATAATCGGATTGATAATAAAATTTTTATTTTAGCTTTGGTTCTAACTGAATTTAAACACATTTTTACCACTACCCAGTAAATAGAGTCTTGCTCTCGAATATTCATTAGCCATATGTATGCCACCAAGTTACAGGTGTTTTTGAGATGTTCTCCAAGAATAATTTGTCAGTTTAAAGGCTTCTGTGGGTGAAAAAGCTCAGTCATGGATGTCAGTCACACTTCTGTTTTTATTCTTCAGTTGGTTTAAACTTGTTCACTAATGTATTATCCTCTGCTATAGGATATCTGGAATGTGTGCTATAATATGAGCTAGCAAGAATAGTTATAAAATTCAAAATTACCATACAACTCTAAAGAGGGCTCTGTTAACGTGGGAGAGTATGGTGTGGAGAAAATCAGGGCAGATAAAAGATGATTAGGTACGTGTTGTCTGAAACAGTCTGTTGCTTGTTTGAGATGGTGGCCTATGGACAAGAGCCTCAAAGTACTGGCAGGAAAAGAATTAATAGTTTTGACAAAATAGAAGTGGAAACAAGTCAAAATGAAAGTGACTGAATTTGCTTCAGTGCTGTAATATATTCGTGTCAAAAATAATTTGTCATTCCTATTAACTAAATTTTACCCCTTATTTGCTGTACCATATTTTTAGCTGTATTCAGGATTTAATTATATTTAGTAACATTTAAAGCAGAATTAGACAGATTTAACCTGTGTTACTTTAGTTGATTGAACACCATGTGGGATTTTCTTCCTGTATTTAATTTTCCATTCTTATTTTCTCATTATATTGTGTTTCTTTTGTTTATTAAAAATATTTTAAATTAAGAAATAAATATATGAAAGTTTCCTTGCAAAAAAGTTAAATAATATGGAAGGACAGAGAAAATACTTTACCCCTCAGTTCACTACCCCTTTCCTGAAACCACCATGGTCAATAGTTTGGTATGTATCTTCACAGACCACCTTAAATGGTCGTTACACATTTATCTGTTGTTTTGTTTTGGTCTGTATGGGACCACACTATTTATTTTACCATTTTCCTTTGATGGATGGTGCTGCAGTGAATCCTTTTATACATGTCCTTCTGTACATGTCTGAGTACTTTTAGTTCTCAGAAGGGTCAAGCATGTTTTAAATTGCAATAAATATTGACACATTCTTTTCTAAAAAGATAACCGGTTCACCCTCCAAACAGATATGAACATCCTATTTCTTCACACCTTACCTGATGCTGACTATGTTTTAATCTTTCAAATGTTCAGGGCACCTGTGGTATCGTTGATGTTTTTGTTTGCAATTCCTTAATTGCTAACCAGATTATGCATCTTTTTGAATGTTTATTTGCTATTTCATACTTGTTCTCTGACTTACCTCCTCATATCCTTTGACCTTTTCTGTTGAGTTGTTCTATCAGTTTGTAGCAACTTGATACGATATAAACTTTGATTCTTCAACTGTTACTTAGTGGGAAATAACTGTCTCTTCTTTCTCAGTTATTTTGATTTTTTAAATTGTAATAAGCTTATAGTTTAAAATAAAGCTTATAATATAAAGCAATTATTTTTGTCACTTAATACAGCCTGTTCTAGAGCCAATGTCTTTCAATCTTTCAGCTATATTTTATTTTTGACATTTCTAAATTACATGCTTTAATTGCTACACATTTTAGATATTTTCTAGTGCGTATGTCTCCCCTCATCGTCTCGGTATAAATATATCACAATTTTTGTTAGATCTGTATTCATTGCTTATATTAGTATGACTGTAATGTTCATAAGTTTAAGAAAGATGATCCTTGGTAAGGGATTTTATTTGTTTAAATCGTTGTTCTAGGCAATATTGAGTCCTTTAATCTGGGAACTTTATTTTTCAGTTCTGGAGAAATTTTAACTTATAAACCCCCCACACCACCATCTTTTGTTTGTTTGTTAGGGGGAGGAGGGTAATTAGGTTTATTTATTTATTTATTTTTAAGTGGAGGTACTGAGCTATACCCTCCCCCCTCCACCGTTTTTGAATTTTTGTTATTCTTGATGTTAGATTTTTTTCTTGTAAAAACGATACAGAACAATAAAGATACAGAACAGTTCTATCACTGCAAGGGTTTCTCTTATACCCTCTTTATAACTACATCCACTGCCTCCCTTTCTTAGCCCCTGGTTCCTGGCACTCACTAAATCCATTCTGTTTCTATAATTGTGTCAGAAATATATATGCAATCAAACACTATGTAGTCTTTGGGGATTGACTTTTTCTTTTTTTTCCACTCAGCATGATTAAGTCTCTGGAGATGTATCCAAATTGCTACCTGTATCAGGAGGGTTTTTTGTTGTTGTTTTTAATTGCTGAGTAATATTCCATGGTTTGAATGTACCTTATAGTTTGTTGAACCATTCACTTGATAAAAGACATCTGGGTTGTTACTAGCTTTTGGCTGTTACAGTAAAGGTTCTGTAAATATTCATGTACAGGTTTCTGTATGAATACAAATTTCCATTTCCCTGGGATAAATACCCAGGAGTGCAGTCGTTAGGTTGTATGGTACTTACAAGTTTAGTTTTTAAAGAAACTTCCAAGTTGTGTTCCAGAGTGGCTATACCATTTTATATTCCCACCAGCATTGTATGAATGATCTAGTTTCTCATTCTCACCAGCGTTTGATGTTATTTTTTCTTGGAGGTGTGTTCACTTTCTGATGGGTGTGTATTGATATTTCATTGTGGTTTTAATCTTCATTTTCCTAATGGCTAATGAGGTTGAACATCTTTTTCATGTGTGTGTTTGCCATCTGTATCTTCAGTGAAATGTCTCTTTTCTCTGTTTTCTACTTGGATTGTCTGGGTTTTTACTGTTAATGTTTTGAGTTTTTAAAAAATATATTGCAGATACTTGTCCTTTGATGAATATATGGTTTGCAAATATTTCTCCGAGCCTATAACTTGTCTTTATATCCTTTTAACAGTCATTACAGACCAAGTCTTTAATTTTGATGGGGTCTGATTTTTCCTTTTATGGACCATGCTGTGGATATCAAGTTCTTTGCCTCTAAGTTCATTAGAGATACTGGTTTGTAGTTCTTTCACTCCTTTTTTTGGTGATTCTCTGTTTATGTGGTTTTTTAACAAGCTTACTACCGGCCTCATAAAATGTATTGGGAAGCATCCCTTCTTCTAGTTTCTGGAAGAGACTGTGTAAGATTGGTATTAATTCTTCTTTAAATGTTTAAGACCTTTTATTTATTTTTACTGAAGTATAGTTGATTTACAGTGTTTATTTGAGAGCTTTTAAGTTACACATTTCTTTAATAGTTGTAAGATTATTCAGGTTATCTGTTTTATTTTGATTGAGTTTTGGTAGTTCAGTGGATTGCTTTTAAGTTGTCCATTTTTTCCAAGTTGTTGAATTTGTGAGTGTAAAGTTGTTTGTAGTATTCCTTTATATCCTTTTAATGATCTCATGGTTTATAATGATAACCCTCTTTTCATTCCTAATATTGTTGGTGTGTGCCTTCTTTTTTCTTTATTAAGACTTGCTAAAGATGTATCAATTTTTCTGATTTTTTTTTTTTAAGAATGTGGTATTGGTTTCATTGACTTTTCTCTATTTTCCGTTTTCAGTTTATTGATTTCTGGTGTTATATCTATTGTTTCCTTCCTTTTGCTTGCTTTGGGGTTATTTTGCTCTTCTTTTACTAGGCTCTTAAACTGGGAGCTTAGATTCTTGATTTGAGACTTTTCCTTTTATGTATGACATGTAGTGCTGTGTATTTCCCTCTCAGTACTGTGTCAGCTGTGTTCCACAAATTTTGATTTGTTGCATTTTCATTCAATTCTATGTTTTTTTAAAATTTCTTTTGAGATTTCCTTTATGACCATGAATTATTTATATTAATCTCCAACTGAAGATTTTCCTGTCATCTTCCTGTTACTGATTTCTATTTTGATTCCTTTATGATCAGAACATACTATGTATTATTTCAGTTATTTGAAATGTGTTGAAGTTTGTTTTGTGAGCCAGGATATGGTTAAATTGGGCGAATGTTCCATGGATGCTTGAAAAGAATTTATATTTTGTAGTAGTTTGGTAGAGTATTCTGTAGATGCCAATGTGATCCTATTGGTTGATGTTGTTCAGTTCTTCTGTGTCTTTGCTAATTTCTAAAGTTCTTGCAATTGCTGACAGTGGGATATGGAAACCTCCAACTATAATTGTGAATTTCTCGATTTCTCTTATTTCTATCAATTTTTCTTTCATGTATTTAGAAACTCTTGTTTGGTGCATACATAATTCAGACTGCTGTGTCTTCTTTGTGAGTCAATCTTTTTATTATGTAATGTTCCTCTTGCTCTCTAGTAACTTTCTTTGCTCTCTAGTAACTTTCTTTGCTCTAAAGTCTACTTTGTCTGATATTCTTATAGCCACTGGTGCATTTTTTTTTTTTTAAGATTCATGTTAGCAAGATATGTCCTCCTCCGTCCTTTTCCTTTCAACCTACCCGTGTTATAGGTATTTGAAGTGAGTGTCTGGTAGATAGCATATAATTGGATCGTGTTTTTCTGTGCCAATCTCTTTTGATTGTTTATTTAGACTATTTACATTTAAAGTAATTATTGATGTATGAGGCCTTAAGTCTCCCACTTTATTGTTTGTTCTCTGTTCTTTTTCTCTGTTTCTCACTCTTCTGTCCTTTCTTGGCTTCCTGTGGGCTGCTGAAATATATCTTAGGATTCTATCTTATTTTGTTTATATGTTTTTGGTGTAGTTTGTATAGTTTTCTTAGTGGTTTCTTTAGATAGTAAAATACTCATTACCAGTAATTGCTGCTACATTTTGAACATTTATAGTATGCTAAGCATTGTAAAAGAGCTTTATAAGCTTTGTGTCTGTTTAATCTTTACAAAAATCCCATGACGGAGGTGCTGTTTTAATACTTGCTTTATGCCTGAGGAAATTGATGCTCAGAGAAGTTAATTAATTTGCCCAATCACATGGCTGTTAAGTCGGTGAGCAGACCTGACTCCAAAGTTTGTGCCTTTAACTGTAATACTGTATTACCTCATTAAGGCTGATTTTATAGTGTAGGTTTTACATTCAAAATTTTAATGTATTTTGTCTCATTTCCTAGGTTTTGATGATGATGGTTCAGAATTTCATGAGCATATATTTCTGGATAAATACTTAGAAGATTTTCCAAAACAAGGACCAATTCACCATTTCATGGAGCTGGTGACCTGTGGCCTTTCCAAAAATCCGTATCTGAGTGTTAAACAGAAGGTTGAACACATAGAGTGGTTTAGAAATTATTTTAATGAAAAACGGGACATTCTAAAAGAAAGTGGCATACAGTTCAATTGAAGATCATGGACATTTTTATTTCAGGCTGTTGGAGATTCGTATTATAACTAAATAAAATTTTACGGGAAGTTTTCCTATATTGTGTTCTTTATTGCATCTGATTTGAATGGTGTTAAATTATTTAAAAGTATATACAGTGGTAACTGAAAAATACTCCTGCATGGAAAAAAATTACCAGCTTTTATGGATTCAACTAGTAATTCTAAAAACAAAACAAAACAAAACAAAATTTAGAGTTAGTAATAATTTTAGGACAACTTCCTCTAATCCTTTTCTTTTCATTCAGTGACCATACTTCTTTGAAATACAATAGTTAGCCATATATGATGACATCAAGAGGGTTAAAACAGTTGAGATTACAGACGAATTTATATACATAAACTATGTTTACATATATATATATATATATATATATAGTTTCTGTATTTGTATGTATATGTATATTTTTCACACTAAATTAATATCCCTTGCCTCAGTATGGGGCACTATAGTGAAGTAACCTTGTAGAAATAAAAGGCTTATACTAACCCCCTCTAGTACTTTAGGTCATCATGCCAAAGTTAAAACTATTTTTCATATTGTAGTGCTTAACAGTTTGACTCAAATTCATATAACAAAGGATTCTCAAAAAAAACCCTCAAAACAAGAATTTAGTTTACAGTGGCCTCAGGCTAGTAGTGCTTCAGGCCCTGGCACAAGCAAACAAAAATTTTATGTTAAGGAACCTACCATAAACCCAAGCTTCAAATTATAAAACATATGAGGAAACAAAGCACATGGATGCATTCCAGCAGAACCAAAAGACAAAAGAATCAGACTCATAAAGCTATTAAATATTGGGCTTATATTCAGAATATAAAATGTGTAAATTAGAATCAACTATAGAACAGAAGACTATAAAAGTGACCAAACAGATCCTGAAAAAAAATAAAATTTAGTGAAGGGATTTAACAACAGATTAGACATTGAAAAAACAGTGTCTAAAGAAATTACACATGCAGCAGAGAGAATCAAAGAGAAAAGAAATATGAAAGGTAAAGATTAGTATAAGAAAGTAACATTTGTGCAATCAGATTTCCAGAAGAAGAAAAAAGAGAAATGGGTCAGAGGATCTTTCTGGATAGTTTAAAAGAAAAATGATAATTTAATAACTGAGAGAATTGGATCTCTATTGTAAAAATCTTCCCAGAAAGAAAACAATAAACTCAGACCATTTCTCAGAAAGTTCAAATTACTCAGAAGGCAAAGTATCCTAATCTTATAAGTTATCCCAAAGCATAGAAAAGGGGAACAAATTGTAACTCAAGAGATCAGAATGACAAAGATTAATCTCAATCATGAAGACACATTTGAAAAATCCAAAACAAAATCCAGCAATAAATAGGAAAGAAAAGGTACAATCTAGTTTATTCCAGGAATGCAAGGGTGGTTTAACAATGGAGAAAAAAAAAATACATCACCTGAAAGGATGCAGGAAGAAAGTTTGATGAAATTCAACACTTCTAATACCAATAAAAAGTAGAAAACTTCAAGTAGAACTTATTTAACCTGATAAATGGCATTTACAAAAAACCTACAGCAAACGTCTTAACTTTATAGTGAATCATTAAACTGTTTCCTTTACATGATAAGACCACAATTTATTGTCAACATTGTATTAGAGGCCTAGACTGTGTAGTCCAGCAAGAAAAAGAAATGTAAAGCAACTACGATTGGAAATTTCCCATAAAGAAATCTCCAGTGAATCACTTCCCCTATTTGACAGTAGGCAGAACCTGAGACTTGCTTCTAGTAAATAGAATATGGCAAATTTGATGGGTCTAGTCACTCCTTGCAATGAATTATGTTCTGTGGCAAAAGTGATGGAATTAGTCATGCTTGTGTTCACACTGTTGTGTAGGACTCTTTGTTAGTGACTGGGTGAGTATTCCACTGAGTTTGAAGAAGTAAACTGCCATGTTGTGAGAAGGCCTGTGAATGGATGGGCCACATGGCAAGGAACTGGGGCGGGGGGGGTCACTAGGAGCCGAGAGCAATCCCCAGCTGACAGCCAGCAGCAAAATGGGGAGCTCCATTCTATAGACCCCCGTAACTGAATTCTGCGAGCAATCGTGATCTTGCAGGAGGGCCCTATGCTCTAAAAAGGACCACAGCCTGGGTGACACATTGATTGCATCCTTGTGAGACCCTGGGCAGGGGACCCAGCTAAGTGACCCAGAAACATGGAGATAGTAGGTGTATGTTGTTTTAAGCCCCTGAATTTGAGGTAATTTGTTATGCCCTGATAGATAACTAGTATAGGAAGGAAGAAACAAAACTATCATTATTAGTCTATGATTATATAGAAACCAAAAGAATCTATAAATTATAAGAATTAATAGAACAGTTTAGCAAGTGTGCTGTTGCAACAGACAAAAGATAATTTATAAGATACCATTTACAGTAGCATCAAAAATACATATCTCAATGAAAGATATGTAAGATCTTTATGAAGAAAATGATTTAAAACTTCAATAAAACAGTAATAAAATACAAGTAGATAAGTTTATGGGTAAGCAGACTCAGTATCATAAAGCTGTAACTCCAAATTTATCTATAGCTTTAATGTAATTTCATTCAAGATCCCAACAAGGTTTTTCACAGAACTTCACAAATTTATCGTAAAATTACAGAGGAAAGCAAAGAACCAAGAAGAGCCAAAACACTCCAGAAAAAGAAGACAAGGTGAGGTAAGAAATTTGCCTTGTAAGCCATCAAGACTTATCAAGCTATAATAATTAGTAGGATATTAACTATAATTATAGACACAGACAGTTCAATAAAATAGACTGATGGAGCAGAATCGAGAACACAGAAATAGACCCATTAATATATGGAAACCTGATACATGACAAAGTTGGCACTGCAGATCAATGGGAAAAGTGGCTCTCTGATGAAAAGTGTTAGGAAAATTATTTATCCATATGAAGGAAAAGAGTGGATTCTCTACTTCACAATACACAAAGAAATCCAATTCAGTTGGATTTGAAATTTAAATGAGAAAAAATTTTTAAACATTTAAAGCAAAAATATAAAAGACTGTCTTTATAGCTCTGATGTAGGCAAGGATTTAAGATATGAAAAGCAGAGCCTCTTTAAAAAGAGACTAATGCCTTTGACTATGTTAAACTTTCGAACTTTGAATCAAAATAGACATCAAGAGTGAAGAGACAAGAGTCCAATGTGTAGAAGACCAACGTTTCACATATAATCACCAAGTGAGCAGTATGCAGAATAGACAAAGAACACCTAAAAATCAAGAGGAAGAAAACAACCCAAAAGAATATGGGCAAAAGATATGAATAGGCATTTCATAGAAGAAAATACAAAAATGGCTAATAAATACATGAAAGAATGTAAGGGAAAAGCAAATTAAAACTATATTGAGATATCTGTGTACTCTTCAGATGGGCAAAAAATCAAAAGCTAAGCAGTATCACTTACACATCAATGTTGGTGGGAGTATAAACTGGCAACCACTCTAAAGATTACATAATTATATATTTATAATATATATAACATAATACATAAATATATAACATATATAATTATAGCTGAAACAATTATACCTTTTAACGTTTATATATAAATATATAATATAAACATCTATCATTGTGTGTGTATATAGACAGGTAATTCTATAACCTTATGAATAATCAGGTCTGCTCCTGAAATGTATACCTAAAGAAACCCTTGCAGATACGTGCTGGAAGGCATGTACAAAAAATGTTCAAAGTAGTCAAAATCAGGGGAGAAAGTGCCCGTCACCTGGAGAGCTGATAAATAAATTGTGGTTTATTCATGCAATTGAACACTAAACAGAAGCTCAAAGGATTAAAACAGAGCCATACACATCAACCCAGATGAATTTCAGAAACAATGTTGACTGAAAAATAAGTTGCAGAAGAATGCATGCAATATATCACCATTTACAATTTTGAATATATTGCTTAGAGCAGTAAGTGTGGTTATAACGAAAATCACGGGGATGATAAACACAACACTGTAATCAGGGAGGCGTGGATTTGATTGTGGTTGAGGAGGGACACCCAGGGAGAGTCAACAGTACTAACATTCTATTTCCCAAGTTAGATGGTAGGTTTCCAGGTGGTCATTTTATTATCATGCTTTAAAAACTATATTACAGATACTCCTTTGTATGTAGCAACATTTCACAATATTTTAAGGAATGAATGGAAATGGGTATATAACTGAAAGATACCCAGAGCTTGGCCATAGTTTTGAAAGATGTTGATACCTCCACAGCTGAGACCATGACACTAAAAACATTCTTTATTTATCCATTTACACACTTGATTCTAAAGAATGTACTATCTTTAGATTCTCAGTCCTAAAGAATATATTATCTTTAGATTCTTACCTTGTTACATTCTTTCAAAGAAAATTTTAATTTTGGGGTGGGGTAATTATGTTTTTACTTATTTATTTACTTACTTAAATGGAGGTATTGGGGATTGAACCCTGGACCCCGTGCATGCTAAGCACACGCTCTACCATTGAGCTATCCCCCATCTTGTCACTGTTCTTAAAAGTACACTGAAGCTTGCTTGAGTAATCAGCTTTAAATTATGCAAATAAAGACAACAAAACCCTCTTAATCCTAAAGTTGCTTTTTTTTTAAAAGAAGTCCATGCATTTATACATGTATGCAAATTGCTATTGAATTAGGAAGATTTTATTCTAAGTAACCAAGTCTTAAGGGGCTGAAGCAAACCTGCTTTCTAAAATATATTAACTCAAGGTCTAAGCTATTTCTGAAAACGGAATGATTTACTGTGCCTCTTAATATCTCCTTGAACTAGGATATTAATGATGGTGGCAGAGCGGGAAGTAGCTCATACTAGGAGAAGCAAACAGCCGCTGGAATATGCTTGTGATTTAGAGCTCTGAAAAAAAAGTGGTTAGTTGCAAAAGAAAGAAAGGATTAGTATTTTCCAAGATTTCAGTAGCATCTTTATGAAGAATGAAATATGGATGCTCCTTTTAAATGTAGTACAGAATGTTAGAAAACACTGTG